CCAGATCACTTACAGTTGCGTGGGAAAAGTCTTAGGTGTTTGTGTCAGCTTCAAAAGAGAAAAGGTTCCAGCTTGCAGAGCTGCAGTCCGAAAGGACATCTCAGTAATTGTATACATTATTAATATGCCACTGATAGGAATAAGAATGTACATCCAGGTCCTAGCGCGGATACAGAGCTGCCAAGAATAAATCAGATATGCAGATAAGGTAAGCAGGCAAAGATATTAAAGAGGAATGGCACTGGATCTGGTGTTGCCACTATCTTTCCATCAGTTCAAATCTGGAAATAGTTCCCGTAATGGCTGGAAGGACAGACTGCCAGTAGAAGGTTCAAAAATGTGAACTGTGGGAGTCTGAAGAAGACAGAAAACACTGGCATGTGGGCCAGCCACAGAGCAGAGGCAGGGACAAGACACTGGGAACAGCAAAGGGAGCTGAAACGGCAGGACCCACGGAGCAGCACAAAGGAACAGAACAAACGGAGCGAGGATGTACACGGGGACACGGGTCAGCGCTGCAGATAAAGGCTAAAGGATACAGGGAGGTTAGGGGGCAGGGAGAAGGGCTGGCCCTCCCACCAGGATGTAGTACTACTTTCAGAAATAGAGGGACGAGGGATACAAATCAAAGGCTAAACCAAATAAATAAGAATCCGTTTCCCTGGAGGGCCTGTGGGCTTGCCTGTGAAGCAGCCGTGGTGACTAATGCAGCCCAGCACGAGGAGCTTTGCTTCCTGTGCATTCCCAGCCTCCCAAGCGAGGCAGCCTCTGTGGCTGTTGCTAAAAGGCCTGAATTCACCACAAATTACCTCTCAGGAACAATGAGAGGTAACACCACTACCTTTTTTTTGCTCTTCAGAGCAGCAGAACGGAGTCGCGCAGCGTCAGTGACATTGCTGAGATCTAACAGCTGGCACAAGATGACTTAGCACCACTGAAAATAACACCCTGATAGGGTCTCAGCAAAGCTGCCAACCCCTGAAAATTTGTCATTTGTAAAACCCCTCTTGGGGTTTGTACCTATGTCAGAACTGCAAGTCCTGCCATAATCTCCAGTTGGCCTGCAAACACGGGTGAGGTCAGGAAGGTGAATGTTCCCACCCCCAGCTAAACATCTTCTGCAGTCTCTGAAATTAAGCACAGCTATTTCTAACTTGGCTTGTATAATAAGGTATGAGGCTGTGTGCAGAAAGGCTTTCTCAGAATCCCTGAAAACACTTGTAAGAAATAAGGAAAGTGGTGCCTTCTGTTCCTGGAGCTCACCAGACCAACAGTTCACCTGCACAGTGACCCAACAATACTTCCACATGAAAATGACCCATTTCTATATGAAATGCATATTTGATAGGTTAAATTCTCCAAACTCCCCATCATCTTGTCCAAGGACAAGGCCAAGGACTTTGGACAGGCTCTCCTATGGAGAGCACCAGGAGCCTGCCTGGTGCTTCTGGCTTGCACAGCTCTTGTCCCTGTGCTGACTGCCCTCTGCAGCAAACGAGGATAAAGCAGAGGAATCAGCCTTCCCATGGCACAGGGCAAAGGTTTACAAGTACCTTGATGATACAGAGCAGGATGCTCAGCTCTGAGTGGAGGTTGATGGGATCTCTTTCCCCACAAGTCCCAAACCTTGCTGCACAGTGCAACACAACCATCTATTTAGCTCTATGATCTCAGTGAGAACAGCTTCTCCCCGCTGGAGAAGTTTCTGGTCAGCAGTGTACCAGAGGGCATCTTGCTGAGGACCAGCTGCATAAGATGCCAGGCATGCCCAGCAAGTGCCAAGTACCCCCAACAAAACGGGGGGGTGGGTGGGGAAAGATGAGTAAACTTGGCCTTCATCAGCCTTTCACACAGTAAATTCCTGTTTATCATGCCTGTTACAGCCCCTGCCTTTCCTCCTCTCCCCAAAGTGATTCTAATTTAAAGTGAGCCTTATTTTCCAACCACAGCACGTCCCCAAGCATTTCCTCTTCTCGAAATCGCCAGAATTCAAAGGGTGCAGCGCAAGTCAGGAGGGACATTTTTCCCTTCCCGATGCCAACAACTGCTGCTCCTTCCCAGGGTCACTCTCCCTCCTCCCGTTCTGGCACGTTGCTTTTACCCCATATTTCACGTCACGCCCGTACGACCGCAGCGAGCGGCCGGAGAGCCACGCGTGCCTTCCCGGCTCATCCACCACACCTGGCTCGGCAATTCCCACTGCCTCAGCACCCTGCAGGAGCGGCTCCCAGGGGCTGACAGAGTGCCCTGCTTGCTGCCAGTCCTGGGCAGGACCGAGGCACAAAGTCGGAGCCGCTGCCCCGGCCGCGCGCGCGCGCTCGCCCCCAGAAATTAATAAGTTATCACGGCAAATTAAAATGCTAAGTTAATGATCTGCATGACTGCAAGTTACAGAGCTGGAAAAGAAGTCCTAATTAAATCAATACAGTTATTAGTCCCTTGTCATCTCTGATTAATTATTAGCCTAATATGCTTCATCATTTTCACTGTTAATGGAAATAGCTGCAGTGCTACCATGGGAAGCAGGGCAATACGGACCAAAAACCTACAGAGCTGTGCTGGAAGTCCCAGCCTTGGATTGAGCAGTGTATTCCAGAGAAAAGGGGAAAAACATTTCATTTTCTGGGGTGAGAGTCTGACAACATGTAAGCTGGTGACAAAAGTCTCCCATGGTTTTCAAAGGGGGTTTTCAGGGAATTTTTGATTGTTGAAACATTGAGGGATAAAGACCTGAATCCTAAACCTGTGCTCAGTCCTGAGCACTTGTCCCCTGTGCCTCTAAGCTTTTCTCTGAAGTGACAGGACATCACCACGGTCCTCTTAGAAGCCAACATGCCAGTACCTTTCCCCTGAGCCCACCCCAATTCTGACCCTCATCCAGTCTTTATCAGATGCACTTGTTACCCCAGGACATAAGGAAGGAGTTGCATATAATAAGCTGACAGGCATCAGCTGCAATGCCTGGCTCCTTAGGGCACAGATGTAGCTGGGGACACCTGTCCTTTCATGCCACCAAAAGAGCCAAAAATAATGTGCTGAGGTCACTTTTTTCCTTGTGAGCCATAAGTTAAATAGTCCTTTGGATGTAGGCGACAGATAGTATTTACCCAGAGCTTACAGGAGCACAGGTTTTTCCCCCCTTGTTTTCCTGTCTTCCATCATCCTCTCACTGACCCCAAATTTTTTCCCAACTCCTCGTAACAAGCAAGTCTCCTTTGCTGTCTGTGGGAGGTTTTCTGAGTACAAAGAGCATGTACAAACATCAAGGCTGGGTCTCCACACGTCTCTCCAGCAATAAATGCAGAAGTTACCAAACAACTGGGTAGGCTTTGTACCACAATACATGGCTGTGCTATGTAATAAGAAAGGAGTTTCATCTTATAACCAGCTTTTACAAACAAGCTCTTTTGGATAGGTTATCAACAGAAACACAAACATGCACTTCCGAGAGCAAGAACTGCTCCTTGAACTCATCAATGAAGCTGGTGTACAGTGCTCATGCTGCTAATGGGTGACTCAGTAAATTAAATAACATCACTGCAAAATACTACGTTTTCCAAAGATAAAAAGCCATTCAAAAAGATTTCTCAGGACTCTCACCCTATCGCTGCGATTGCCTCATGATAAATTGCCACCTGCCCCGTGAGTAATGGTGGACTTTCTAGTGCCATTTTATCATGTAGTCCTCTTACAGATATCTCCGTCAATGTACTGCGACAACACTTCGGCTTCCCCTGCTTTCCATGACAGTTTGGAAAAGTTCAAGCTCCTTATTTTCATAAAGAAGCTAAGGTGGGACAACCAGCAGAACACAGAAACCCAGTCCCCCCGGTATTAAGATACAAAGCCCACCTGTTTTGTGTCAGACATTAAAGTTTTCATTCTGAGTGCTCTGACCAGCCTATGGTTTGATGAGCAAACAGCATTTCTTTTAGAAATGGGCTGAACTCTGATGAAATATTTGGCTATTTAATGAGTAGGCTCCAGGATAAGGGCTTTCGTGGGAATCCAAAAAGAGGGAGTGAAGAAAAGGGCTCCCTGTGCTATTCTTAGCTGCCACCAGTTAGATTTGGAATTTTGATTGTAAAGCGTGGAATTTATAAATGGTGCCATGCTAAATTTACTTCATTTGTATACAATTCAGCCGGATAATCAAATGTGTTCCAGTATGTTCCTGGTTAGCATCTCAGTCCCAGTTTTATTGTCTCTAAACTGGGAGAAAAATGCACTCAGTAAATAGTACTCGCAAAATTTGTGTTCCAATGCCTGTGTGCAAAGGTTTTATATACACAGTGTGTGTGTGTGTGTGAAGATTTTATATAAATGCACATGTGGGTGCACATGCATGCACACAGGCACCGAGCTGTGATTTATTTCTAGAGGGAAGCCAAGGAAATTCCCACCCCCTACCACTTAAACGATCTGCTCTTTGGCTCCAAACGCTCTGTAACTTCTCAGCCAAGGAATGTATTGTCCCCTTCCAATATATATAATTTATTTTGCTGCACACATTAGTTAATGATACCCAGATACATGATTTAGTCAGTTCTGTAAAAGCATTACTGACAATCTCGGACAGATCCATTTCATTTAGTAAGATTTTTCTTTTCTTTTTTTTTTTTTTTTTAGCTCGACTTCCGCGGCACAGCGGGAATTAACAGCAATCATCAAGTCAAGGATTTGTCACATATACTTTGTACTCCGGCAATTTCCCACAATTAGATTGGCTTCCCGGGGCTAGACGAGCTTTTAATTACAATATTAAGTCAGGTTAAAAGGACTTTACACCGTTTTGGGGGGGCGGGGGCGGAGATGGGACAAAGCTATTTCATTCCGCCGCTACTCCGCGGAGATTATTTCTGGATTTTTAAAAATAGTCGATGAAACGCTAATAATAAATCCCTTATCGGGGCAGGCGGGGCGGCCCGCGGAGCCCGTCCCCGGCCGGGCAGGAGCGCTCCCCATCCCGCACCGTCCCCGCCGCGGCCGGCGACACTTACGCGGTCCCCAAGGCGCGGCGGCCGGCAGCCTGCGCAGGTGGATCTCATCCTTATCCATCGCCCGTCCGAGCCCTGCAGCCCGCCTGTACTTGGTACCACACCGAACTTGCCAGGATCCCTCCTCCTCCTCCTGCTGCTGCTGCTGCTGTTTCTCCTCCCTTTTTTTTCCCCCCCTTCCCCGCGGCGCCTGTCGGGGAGGGCGCGCTCACCCTGCGAGCGGCTCCGCCGCCCCCGGCACACTTTAAATACGGGCGGCCCGGCCCGCCGGAGCGCGGCCCTCCGCGGGCAGCCGGCCCTCCTTCCCTCCCTCTTCCCTTCCTCCTTTTTCCCTCCCTCCCTCCCTCCCTCCCTCCCGGTGGCGCCGCCCCCGCGGAGCCCCCGCGCGTACCTGCGCTGACCTTGGGCGCGGAGCGCCCGCGGAAGGTCGGCGATGGGGAGCGCTCCGCCAACAAGACCTAAAGACCCTCGCACCGAGCCGCAATTAAGTGATTTCCCGCTCCCTTTCCTATTTTTATTTTTATTTTTTTATCACGCTCCCGCGCCTCCCCGTCTCGCAAAAATAAGAGGAGATTTTTTTATTTTTTTTTTTTAAAGGGAAAAAGCGCGGCTGAGTGCGCTGTTGAAGCCCCGCGTTGTTCGGGGGCGGCCGGCCCCCTCCCCGGTTCGCCGCCCCGTGTTTCCTGCTGTCCCAGTGGGAAAGGTGACAAGTGGGGAAGCGGTCACAAGTTTCTTCTCCGCCCCGCTGGCTGCCGGGGCGCCCCGTCTCTTGGGGATGGTCCTGTGCAGGGCTAAGGGTTGGACTCGATGGTCCTTGTGGGTCCCTTCCATGTTCTGTGATCTCCCGGGGAGGCTGTGACTACCACCCCCCTCCTCTCCCAGCTCTGGTCCAGGAGGGATGCTCTGGATGTCACCGTACACACCAACCAAGTCACGCCCTCAAAGAATACCACCGGGTTACTTTTCTCAACTTTGTTTTTTGGGAATGTGAGGTGTAAAACAGCTGCCACTCGCCTTTTACACCTCCCGCTGGGTGGCTGCAGTATTTGTGCAGGATTTTGAACAGGCTTCCAGGCTTCTTCATCTCCGCGGATTTAAACCCCTCTTCAGTGCCCCCCAGGGATTCCTTGGTCTTCTCCAAATTCACTGCCAGAGCCTGTGCTGTGCTGCAGAAACCCTCTTAGGCAAAACTGACACACATTTATCTGCACCATTCTCTGACTGTTTTCCCTTATTTTTTTTTTTTTTTTTAAATCTCAGACAAGAACTTAACCCTCAAAAACTCGAAGAGAAGCGTGCAAGGGCTCTGCCAGAAGGAAGCAGGCTTGGCAGGCTTCCCAGCTTCTGGCAGTCAGACCCCAAGTACCCCACATTTGTCACAGCTCCTGCTGCACCCAGGCCCTTCCTGGTCCCCTTGCACCCCCAAAAGGGACATTGCTGAGTGGCATCTTGCTGGTGGTACTCAGGAATCAGGGAGCCCAGCCCGGGGGTAGCAGAGGGGTGCCCACCTGGTGACAGCGAGCAGACACTGTTCCCACTTAGATCAGGGGTCTAGTTCCACCCTCAACCCCCCTTTGCTACCCAAAAGACAGCAGGTTACAGCTCAGATATCCCTGGGGGACAGTGTTCTTAAAATTGTAAAAGCATCTTTCCTGGGTTGGTTGGAAGTTTGACAGGAGGGACAGAAAACACGTTATAAGAAATACATAACCCAGGGAATTTACATGCATGGACTTTTCCTTCATGGAATATAAACCCTCAAGGCTTTGAGTCCGGATGCTTTCAGGCTACATTTCCTACCTTTTAGCTCCTTTTTTGACTTTTGGGATTTTTTTGGGACAGTGTGGATTGGGCTATTTTTAAAATGCCCATCACTTAGTTTATTCTTAGCAGAAGAGAGGGCGAGTAGATTGTGTTGCACTGAAGCCTCAATTACCAGCTTGCTTAACCCAGGATCAAAGGCACTTGGGAACGTGCTCTTTTCCCTTTGCCTGAAATTAATTTATTTTGGATGGAGATTTGCGACAGAACCAAATGTGGGCACAAGACCAACATATATATTTGTTTTACGGATGTGAAACACAAAGAAATCTGGAAATAATGCTTGGATTCCAGTGTCCTATCTCATCATGACCACAAGCTCCACGAGCATCTGCTGAGTACAGCTGGGGTGGGAACCCAGCCTGGATATATGCACAGGGCAGCACAAAATGTGCCTTCACCACTGAAGTGATACCTTTTCTGTGGCTAATTCCCTACTGAAAGCCCAGACAGAGGCGGACCAGCTCATTGATGGCATCATGTTGTAACAGGCTTTAGGAAGTTTTAGTCTGACAAGCAGGATTTCCAAAATTAAGCTTGTGTTCCAGCTCCCCAAGTGGGAAAAAAATAAAAATAAAGTTGATATTACTGCCTCATTCCAGCTGTTTAAGTGTTAACGGGCAATCTTTACTTTTAAAGTGTCCTGAAAATTAAAATACATTAATTGCCTGGTATTATTTCAGAAGGTCCTGGGGCTGACATGGCCCAGATTTGAGTGGAAGTGGAAAAATCTCAGTGTGCTGTGGAACCTGTGCTCCACCCAGTAGTACTGAGGGGCAGGACAACAAGCTTCCTTCCCACTCCCCTAGATGAGCTCTAGCAGATCCTCGAGCTGCTTTGGAGAAGCCTGTTGTTGGAAGGTGATATAAAGATAATGGGAAAACATCTGGATGGAGCCTGCCTGACCTCCATCCCTCTGTCCTGCTTCTCCACACTATTTTCTTTACTTTTTAGTATTCCCTGGGCTCCTCTGTGTGGGCACATGGACTTTTTAATTGCAGACTGACAAGGGCTGGACCACTGGTGCACCTGAAGGGACAGAACTGCTCCGGCTCCGACCACGCACGAGAGCAGAGGAAACACGATTTGTCTTTTCAAGAGCCCCACGAGCTAAAATAGGCTGTTGGGATGACAGGAAGCAGAGACTCCAGCTCCAGTTTTCTTCCTCAGTGTGTGATAAACCCAGTGTGCCATCCCAACACGCACTTGTGAGAAGGATGGCGAAGGGGTGGAGGACCTACTGTCTGTGCAATAAAACAAAATAGTGCCTTCTTAGCGGCTAGGAAGGCGACAGTGAAGCTTGGCATCCACACCTATTGCTGGAAATATTTACAGTCTGCTCCTGCAAAATGTACTGTGTACCTTCATAACAATAATAATGCGGTTCTTGGCTCCTGTGCTTGGAAGCTGAGTGGAGGCTCTGGGTGCTCAGGGTGCTCACACTCCCGGGAAATGCCTGCGTGTAACGCCGGCCCCACCATCCCAAATGCCAAACCAACCAACCAACCAGCCCACCGACCTCCTCCCTGCCTTGGAGTTGCCTCTGAACTATTTTTATGGAGTCTTTTACACTTTTGAGGGGCACTCAGTGAAGGCAGGGATACGCTCCAGCTCTCTGTTCAGCTGGGGCATCCAGAGATAAGAGCCCATATCCCTGGCAGCCTCCCGAAAACAGCATGAACACAATCACATGATGGTGAAACAAGCCCTGGCTGTGGCTGTGACAGCAGTGGAGCCCCTGCTCCTCACCTTCACCACTACACACAACACACTCCCTGCCTGTCATTGACCCACAAGCAAAAAAAGTGGGTGTGTTGCACAGAATCGTGTTCCAGAGAGCCCCAAAACCACAGGCAACGTGGGAAAGATAAACAGGGAATGGTAAGTCACAATGTAAAAACTAAGGTATACCCACAGAAATTAGTAGGTGGCAAGATGAAAAAATAAGAAAAGGTTTTTTTCCATGTAATAAACTGAAACCATAAGATTCTTGTGTAAATTACCATATAATGGTAAATATAACAAAACTATGGGCACAGAGCATTGTTACATTTTCATGAGATACAAGTCAAGTCAGAAGCAATTTTTTTTTTTTTTTTTGAAAAGGGATGAGAAATATTTGTGAAAAATAGCTCCAGTGGTGTCTACTGTACAAAGTGGTCTGGCTGTAATTTTCAGCTGAGTAAGCTCTTAAGCCTCTGATGGTTGGAAAGGCATTTGTGGGGAAGGATGTTCTGTTTCTAATCTCCTTTTCTTGCTACTTGCCACTGACAGACACTGGGTCCTGGGCTAGATGGACCTCGGAGTATGGCAATTCTCTTGGCTGGATATATATATCCAGAGCTCATGTACCTAAAGCACAGAATATTTTGTGTGTTTTGAACTCATCCATGTCAAGCACAGGCACTTCTGTGCATGCTTATGTTAAATATTACTTCTGTGAACAGTCTCTGCTTCTTTTTTTTTTAAATTTTGTGTGTGTGTGTGTGTTTTAACATTTTGCCGAAGTTGAGTGAGAAAAACTTGAGTGCTGTTTGTAAGTAACAATGCACCAAGTATGTGCTCAAAGCTGCAGGTGGTTTAAGGACTGAATAAAACAATGCCTGTAGTGACAAACATCCACTACCTTGCAGGTCTTTGCCTTGCGCCAGTGGCAGAAGCAGGCTGGGGGTCACGTGTTGCCTAAATTAAGAATAAATACTTAGGATGACTGATTTTCACAAGTTTAGACGATGTAAGAGAAGTGGAAAATGAAGGAAAAAAAGAAATTAAAAGACAATCCTCCCCCTGCTTCTACATACATGAGGACTGTTCCCTTTCTCACGTCCCCATGAAGCACTTTCACTAGTTGCTATTAGGCACTAGGATGGGAAACACGCAGGGTTTTCCCATTAATGCTGCCCAAGTTTCCAAGTGTCATTTTACAAAAAGTCAGAGGAACCTCCCACTTCTTCCCTCTGCAATTTACAGTTGAAAGTAACACCACCCAAGAGCCCAGCCAGGGCTTTGAAATGAAATTAGGAGATGCTGTAAGCTGTGTTCACAGGAGAAGGTTTGACTCAGACCATGTGAGTCACAGCTGGTCTCTGATTCTCCCCTTGCTACTGATGGAAGGAAATTATGACAGCCTTGGCTTGCACAGCTGCACCAGCCAGAGGGGTGGGGGACTGAAACCGAGCCCACTCCCAATTTTTTTAAACTCTCTGCAGTTGGATCCAGTCCCCCCCTCTGTCCCAGGGCAGATTCAACTGGACCCAATCTACTGCTGATCTGAGTTTCCTGACTCCTTTTGATGAGATTGCCATCATCCATTTCAAGCTCCTGTGGGAATCTGGTGCTATGCTTAAAATTACCCTTGCATTTAGAGAAGTTTTTCCTAATCTCAATCCCTTCTTGCTATAGGGCAAGCCTGCTGGTC